CACCCAGGAAAAACGTCGGCAAAAAATACCCATTTTTCAAAAAAAAAAAAAAAAAAAAAAAAACCTCCAAAATAGAAATCAAGAACATCATTTCTCAGCCCAAAAAAAAATCACAAACTCAAACAGAACTAAAATAAACAAACTCCAGTAACATAAATGAAGGTTGAGTTCCAACTACAATTGTCTTTTTTTTTTTTCTCTCAAAATCACTGACAATTTACTATTTCAGAGCACCAAATAAAACAGTTCATACTAAATTTTCAGGCCAGAGATTATACTAGAGTTAATAGTTTAGCAAAAAAAATCAATAAATCCAAAAAAAAAAAAACCCATGTCCAAACAGGAGAACATATGCAATCCCATTGATAATTTTTTGCTCATCATTTTTTTTTTTTTAAAAGAGAAAAAAAAGCAGAGAGAAATTGCAAGTGTCATGACAATCTTCGTACCAATTGAACCATACTACAGTTCAACTATCTTACAATTTTTTTTTTTTTAAAGAGTATATATTGAGCATAAATTGACAATTTAAAATATAAAAAGTGCAACAGGGTAATAATTTCTTAATAACTACAAAATGCGGGTACAAAAATGTAAATTTCCCAAATAAAAAAAAACAAAAAATAGAAAATAAAATAAAATAAAAAACCTGTCGTTTTTCTGCCCACTACTAGACTACCATTGTCTGATCGGCCTGACTAAAAGACAGAGAGAAAACAAAAAGCTCTCAAATGTTAGTTGAAGCAAGCATTCCCGCCAAACAACCAACATTTATGGCTTCACGAGAAAAACAAAATCTCTTCAATCTTTTACAGAGTTGCAACACCATTAAAAAACTCACCCAGATTCACGCCCAAATACTCACCAAAAGCTTCTCCCAAACAAACTCCCTTCTCGCCAAGCTCCTCTATCTCTACGTCTCTTATGGTTACATCAAAGACGCGCTTTCCGTCTCCGAAAACATTGACAATCCAAGCACCACCAGTTGGAACCAAATTATTAGAGCACATGGAAGAAGCGAAACGCCGAAAAGATCGGTTGAATGTTTCAATCGAATGGCGGAGACAGAAGCCAAGCCCGATGGGTATACCTTTTCGTATCTTCTCAGCGCCTGCGCGAGGTCGGGGCTGTTTAGGGAAGGAGAACAGATCCACGGGAAGGTTTTGGCAAATGGGTATTGCTCCAATGTATTTGTTGGGTCGAATTTGGTTAATTTGTATGCGGTGGGCGAGGGAGGTGGCCTGGTCGAGTGTGCACGCCGAGCGTTTGATGATTTACGTGAGAAAAATGTTGTCAGTTGGAATTCCTTGCTCAAGGGGTATTTCAGGTGCGGCGATGTTGACGCTGCGCGAGAAGTTTTTGTTGAGATGCCGGAGAGGAATGTTGTGTCGTGGACAACTATGGTTGCGGGCTGTGTTAAACATGGGAGGTGTAGGCAAGCTTTGTCTTTGTTTCATTACATGAGGAAAACCCGAGTGGAGTTGGATCAGGTGGCGCTCATAGCGGCATTGTCAGCATGTGCAGACTTAGGGGATTTGAGATTGGGAAGGTGGATTCATTGGTATATTGAAGAAGTGTTGAGTGTTGAAAGCGAGTCGTTGTTGGTGTCTTTGAACAATGCGCTTATTCATATGTATGCTAGTTGTAGTGCTATTGATGAAGCACATAAAGTGTTCAAAAATATGCTGAATAGGAGTATTGTTTCATGGACAACTATCATCAATGGGCTTGCGAAACAAGGACGTGGGGAGGAAGCCCTCCGTTTTTTTCAGAGAATGTTGTGCTCGGGAGGGAGTGATGTAAGACCCGATGACATAACCTTCATTGGGGTTCTTTGTGCTTGCAGCCATGCCGGGTTAGTCAATGAGGGTAGAAATCTTTTCACGTACATGACTGAAACTTTGGGAATCACCCCAAGGATCGAGCATTACGGGTGCATGGTTGATCTCTTCAGCCGTGCCGGTTTCCTTGATGAAGCGCATAGGGTTATCGAAACTATGCCCATGAAGCCAAACGACGCTATTTGGGGCGCTCTCCTTGGTGGGTGTAGGCTTCACAAGAACAGTGAGCTCGCGTCTCAAGTTGCTCAAAAATTAATACTTCAACTCAATCCCGATCAAGCTGCAGGCTACCTTGTGTTGTTGTCAAACGTGTATGCCGCTGCGAAAAGGTGGATAGACGTTGCCTTTGTGAGACGGAAGATGGTTGAGATGGGCGTGAGAAAGCCTCGGGGCCGAAGTTGGATTCAGATCAATGGAGTTGTTCACGGTTTTGTGGCGGGTGACACAGATCATATGCATACTTCTTCAATCTACAAAATGCTTGCGGAGATTAGTACGCAGGCCCAAAGGCAAGCCGACAAACTGGACGCATCAGATGTGGTTTTATGTGTTGAGGGACATTGAGGTATTAAGAAGATTTTGCTCTTTTCCTCTTCTTACATGATATGCACCTAGATTTCTTGAATTGTACAGAGCCCCCTTCAATTGTTACTCCTTTGAGTTCATAGAGTAGAATTTACGTGATTTGAACCTTTTTGGTTTAAACTGAAAATTCTGAATATTTTTTTTCTTTAAATTATAATGGAAGGGTTCAAATCACCAAATTAGGGGAAGGGGGGAAATCCCTGATTTTAAAGGTTTAAACCACTGGTTTTTCAATTCAAACAGTCTGATTTTTTGGTCCAAAAAGTGGGGGATGGCGGGCGTTGTTCAAATTGGATTGCATGAATACGGACCTACGAACCAAACACAAACGCTGTCAAATATTACCAATCAAAATATTACCAATAGAAATTTACACTCATTCATGTCATATGAATCTACGGGGCGATGAATCCTTGTACATTCCTGCACTTTTATGAGAGCTCATCCGTTTTCTTATCCATTGGTTTAGTGAATTGAGCTGGTGGTGTTTGTTTCTTATGAGAGTGTAAATATTGCCGATTGAAATTTACACTCACTCATGTCATATGAATGTACTATAACATGAATTGCAATGGATCCTTATAGCGCCATTGCGCTTTTAGGAGAGCTCGTTCCGTTTCCTTTTCCATTGGTTCAATGCATTGAGATGGTGGTGTTTGTTTCTTTCCC